GCCTCAGGCCGTGCTGCCCTCCCCTCCCCTCCTGGGTCCCGCCCACCGCAGGAGCCCCCAGCCCACTGTGTGGCTGCTGTCTTCAGGGCCACCTCAGTTTCCCCTCTGCCCAGCGCCTTCTCTGGTCTCCCTAAGGCACCTCCTGAGGCCCGCTGCACCGTGGCCCCCGAACCAGGGAGCGTGGGTCTGACTGTGCCGTCTGCGCCCCACGGCCCGCGGGACACGCAGGTCCGCCGCTGGCACCCAGGGCCTCCGCTGCTGCCCCAGCCCTGGGGGCAGGCCCCTCGGTACAGCGCCCTCCTCTCCCTTGCTTGGGACGAGGGCCCTGCCCTTCCCTCCCCACTCACCCCCCGCTCCGCCCCGCCTCTCCTCTGCTTGGGGCCCCACTGCCTGCACCCCTCACCGAACTGGCCACCGCAGCCCGCCAGCAGCAGCAGCAGCACCAGCCGCGTCCCCCTCATGGTCTGGTTCTCAGGTCCGGTCCTCAGGCTGCAGCCACTGCACCCTCGCCCTGGGGCTGCCCGCAGGGACGCAGACACCAGTGCAGCCACCCAACCGGTCAGCCGAGCGGATTAGTGGCATTGGGTTTCCTGTGGGCGGCTGAGGCGTGGAGACTCACGCCCCGCCCACTGGGGCCCCTCCCGCCTCCACCCGCTGCCCCTGTCCCCTTCCCCATTCCTCTACCTCCCGCAGGCTGGAGCCCCTCCCCACCCCTGATGACCCCTCTCTGTGCTTTGGGGGCCTTCACCTCCCTGTGACGCCCTTACCTGGGCTCCCCATGGTCTCCCTCCGCCCCACACCCACCCCGTTCCTGCCTCTGCCAGGCACCCTGTCCACCTTGGTCCCCATGCCTATCTCGAGGGCAGAGTCCGGGTCTAGTGGCTCTGGGTTTGAGTGCTACCAGGGTGCCCCGGGACACCCCCTCATGGAGCACGGTGAGGGGGCCAGATTGCCGCCTGGACAACCAGACAGTGTACTCAGGGGCTTAAGGGACAAAGGCAGGAGGGAGCTGGGTCAACAGGAAGGCCCTGGGTGGAGGCTGGGGGTGGGGAAGGGCCAGGGTCGCCTTGGGGACGCTAATCCCCGTGTCTGCTGGAGGGGCAGGTACACCTTGATCTCTAATGAGGCCAAAGGGGCTGCCGCTTGTGCGGGGCTCACCTGGCCCCCCCCGTGGCGGTCAGGACCTAGATGGCAAGGGCCTTGCCTGAGGCTCCAACAGGATTCGAGTGTGGCTCCCGCCACTGCTCCCTCGTACACTTGCATGCACACGCGTATGCCAGACACGTGCACGTGCACACACATGTGCACACATACACGCAAAGCTGTGTGCACACGTGCACATGTACACACGCACACCTGTGCACACGTACACGTGCGCGTGCACGCACGGCTGCACGTGTGCACACACATACACTCGCGCGCACACGCACTCACACATGCACACGAGCAGCCCCCGCGGCAGCCTCCACGGGATGCACTCCACCTGTGACCGGGTCACCCCCTCCACCAAGCCCGCAGCCGCTAGAGTGAACGCTGGGGTGGGGTGGGGAGCGTTTTCGACAGGTCCCTTGGCCTCTTGCTGGGCTGGGCGGTCAAGGCCATGGTGCCCAGGCTCACGTGGGGCTACACTGCAGCCCCCTCAACTCCTGCATCTTCTCCCATAGGGTCCAAACCTTCGTCCCTCCTAGACTCTGCTCCAGCTCTTCCTACTGCCGGAGACGCCCCTCCCTGCCCTCCTCTCCCTTCTGCTCTCTTGAAATTCTCTGTCTGGGGGCTCCCCCCACCCCCACCCCACAGCCCTTTTTATGGTCTTTGGACTTTCCTTTGAGATCAGCTCCAGGGACCTGGAGGCGCCTGTGTGTCCCTGGGCACTGGGGCCTGGGGATGAGGTGCGTTGTGTCCCTTAACACCCGGCGCCTGTCGGCCACTTCACCTGCTGGGTCATGTTGTCCTCACCACAGCTCCCCAGGCACAGGCCACCACCAAGTACTCGGGACGCAGGGTCAAGGGCGCCCAGCGGCTAGCTGCCTTGGGCGGGTCACCTGGCGTGGGCTGGGGAAGCCAAGGCCGTGGCCGGGCTTGTCTGATTTGACACTTGGCCGCACCGCACAGCTGCACCTGGGCACTGATGCTGGATGCGGCTAACCGGATTAGACACCCGGCGCACACGCCCTACGCCCCTCCTGGTGTAGCCCCGCTCCCGTGCTGGAGCCACACCGGCCCCGCCCCTTGTCCTCAGACGCGAGGGCCCCGCCTGTGCTTCTGTCTGGAGCACACCCGTGGCCCCTGGGGACTCGCTCCTCCCGCAGTTTCCGCCTGATCCCTGGGACCCAGGCTGAGGCCGGACGCAAAGTTGCAGCCTTCTACCCAGGTCGGGGAGGGATGTGACCCAGCCAGGGTCTGGGTGGGCTCTGTCCAGGGCGCCTCCAGCCACCCTCAGTTCCACCAGGAGCCTTCAGGTCAGGGCCCAGCGTGTGACCGGGGTTGGGACTCAGAGTGTGACCAGGGTCAGGGCCCATAGAATGACCAGGATCAGGACTCAGAGTGTGACAAGGGTCAGAGCTCAGAGTGTGACCGAGGTCAAGGCCCACAGTGTGACCAGAGTTGGGGCTCACAGTGTGACCAGGGTCAGGGACCTCTGCTGTGGCTCTGAATGCGGCCTGGCCCCCTCTCCAGCCTCCTGTGGGTGACCTTCTCGGGCACTGTCTTCAGACCCCAGGAAGGCGGAGGGGGGTCCTGGCCTGGGGCCCCGCCCAGCGGCTCCCCTTTAAGCCTATGTTTCTCTGCCGTGAAGGACGTGCACAGCCTGCGGGTCTCCCCTAGGCGGGCCCGGAAGCCCTGGGGCCGTGCCCTTCCCGAGCCCCCGAGGTGCACGTCATGCTCCGGCCACCAGTGCGCTCTCGCTGCGGCGGGGGTCAGGGGTCTGCCACACCCTGTGGGGGGTGCTCAGAAGCACAGAGCCAGCTCCCCCCACGCCGCGTGGCTCTTTGTCCCCCTGCTCAGGGTGCCTGCTCCCCACTCTCGGTCAGCACTGACCCTTCCAGAGGATTCGCAGGATGGCAGAGCTGGCAAACGGCCAGCACTTGGTGAAAGACCCATCCGCCCTCCAGCAGCAGCTGTTAGGCGTCAGGTGCCCCTTGAGACTCAGAACCCCTGCTCGGAAGCCTGAAGGTTTTAGCGGGTGCTTACCCAGCCCTCAGCAGCCCCCACCCTGGGACACTCCCTTACCCCAAGCCCGGGAGGCGGTGGCTCTGTGTGTGTGAGCGCGCCCTCCCATCCACAGGCGTCTGGGTGACATTTCAGGGGGCCGGCATTCGGCAGCATTCTTGGGGCATCTTAGAGATTCATGCTCATGGCCGACTTGCCAGGGCGGCACCCTGCACGGCGCTGGCGGGGCTGCCTTCCAGCCTGTCCCTCCCCTCCTGGGTCTCCGTTTCTCCCCTGGATTTAAAGTGCTGCTTGCTTTCACTTTGCCCTTTTTTTTAATTAAAAAAAAATTTTTTTAATCTTTATTTTTGAGAGAGAGAAACAGAGCACAAGTGGGGGAGGGGCAGAGAGAGAGGGAGAAACAGAATCTGAAGCAGCTCCAGGCTCTGAGCTGTCAGCACAGAGCCCCACCCGGGGCTCGAACTGATGAATCGCAAGATCATGACCTGAGCTGAAGTCGAACCCTTAACTGACCGAGCCCCCTAGGCGCCCCTCGTATGTACTTCTTTTTAGATTTGTGTGATTAAATCTAGAATCTTTCTCAGCCTGGATTTTAAGTCTCATTTTGCTTTCAAAAATTCCTCTTCTCTTGTTAACGTGTAACAGCTTTATTGCATGTGCTCCAGACGATTCACCCAGTGCACGCGGGTTTGGTGTGTTCCCAATTTGTGCAGCTGCCCCCGGTGAATGTGACACTTGCATCACCTCGAAACGGAACCCCCTCCCCGCCTGCTCTCACCCGCCACACACCCCCTTGCCTACTGGCTGCCCGGCTGCCTCAACCATTTCATGCAAATGGACCCACTGAGGATGTGGGCTTTTGTGTCGGCCCCTTGCCCTCAGCCTAACGCGCTGGGGCCCGTCCACGCTGTGGCCCCATATGTGGAGAGAACAGTCTGTCCACGTGTCCTCTGAGGCTCCGTGCTCTGCTCCCCATTCCGCGGCTGTGGCGGCGCCGCCGTGAGCGTATGGATGTTTCTGGGCGAGCGTGAGTGCATGCCTGAGGGTGGGGCTGCCCGTCGTGTTGTGACCGAGTGGAATCGCCTGGAGAACCACCTATCATTCCAACGATCTCTTTTGACATTTAAAGCTCTGACTCCCTGGGGACGCCTCTCCACAGAAGGGGAGCAGAGGCCGGGGGCCAGCGTGGTGTCCTGACCGTGGGGTCAGCTTCTCCAGTCCCGGTGCCGTCTGCCCGGCCGGCCTGCAGAGCCGCCAGGGCGCGCCCGCGGTCGTCTGGCTCGGGGGCTCGTAGGGGCCTCTCCCGCGTGTCTGCTCGCCCGAGGGCCCTCCTGGCGCCTCTGTGGGGGGGTCGCTCTGCTAGGACCCTGCACTGGCGTTTCTGTCTTCTTTCGTGAGAATGTGGCCAGGGTAAGCACAAGGGAAGGGCCGGGCGGTGAGAGCAGTGGCCATGTCGGGGTACCCATGCCCCCTGGTAGGGGTCTTGCTCTGCTTCGCAGCCTGAGGCTGGTGGGAGCCATGATGAAAAGTTTATGTGTGTGTGTGTACGTGTGGCATGTATGGGTGCGTGTGTGTGCGCACACACCTGTGGTGGGGGTGCCTATGTGCACATGGATGTATGGGTGTGTGTGCACATGCATGTGTGCATATCGGTGGGGTTAGCGCGCGTGTACCGGCCTGTGTGTGTGCACCTGTGGCGGGGGCTGCAAGACTGCCTCCAGCCTCACCCTCTCACCTGTCTGCTCTGTCCCTTCCATTCTCTCCCCTGCTTCCCCCAAAGTCCCCTCCCTCTGCCAAGGGCCCCTCCCCCTTCCTCAGACCCACTCAGTGCCACCCCTGAGCCCCCCACCCCCCTGCACAGCCGGGATGCTCCTTGAGCGCCCCCACCCGGTGCCCCAGCTCAGCTGCGGGGGGAGGCGTGGGGTCTGCCTGGGGGCCAGGGCTCGTGGTTGGCGCTGTGAGTGGGGGCACCGGCTGCAGGCGCGGGGGGGGGGGGCGGCGCTCAGTCCTGGTTGCAAAGGTAGTGCTGGCAGCAGGCAATGGACACGTGGGGGCCAAGGCCCAGGGAGGAGACATCAGGGCAGCCACTCTGGCAGGACTTGGTCACCATAGGCAGGTCGATGTGGCTTAAGGGGATCCCTGGGGTGGACGGAAGGTAAACCGCACAGGCCCCTGAGCCTCTGAGCTGCCCGCGCCCCCCCAACCCCTGCCCAGTCCCCTCACTGGGGCCCCTCCCGGGCTGAGGACGGGATGGTCCCCCTGCCCTGCTCCTGACTTGCTGGGAGCCTGGCCAGCTCCGCCCCCTTCCAGCCTGGCTCTCTTCTCCCGGGCAACAAGGGCATGGCTGGCCCACCCCACACGTGCCCCACTCACGGGTGGCGATGGTGACGCAGTAGCTGGAGCTCCATGGGCATCTAGACGGATGGGCACAGCCTCCGAAGCCCTTGCACTGGTGACACGTCAAGGCTTGGGCTGCAGCCGCGGGTGGAGGGACAGGTGGGTGGACAGACGGGGACACAGGTGTGGGTACGTCCAGCGTAGGAGCACCCTCTACTCCCACCCAGTGTCCCACTGTCATTCTCAGGGCCCTAGCCCCGAGTCCTGGGGTGCCCAACCCCTTAAGACCTCCCAGATTGGAGGGTGGGGGTGGTCACCATGTACGAAGCCTCAGCCCAGGGCTGGGAGAGGTCCTGGCCCTCCACCCTGTGGGACCGCGCTCCACAGGAATCGGGGGGCCAGGCCCAGGACCACAGCCGGATGGGCGCTGGGCTGGAGACAGCTCCTCTGCGTCCCCCAGCCAGGACAGCGCTGGTCTGGGGGGCAGGATGGGGCTTTCCGGGCTTGCTGCGTGACATCCCAGGGGAGTGAGGACAGGGGCCTCCCCCAGAAGGAGTTGAGAGTCGGGGGGGGCGTTTGGGACGGGGGGAAGGTGGGGAGGGCTCTCCAAGACACAGCTGTGCCCATATTTTCCTCTGGGGGGGCCTGAGCAGGACCCCTTAGACCCACCGGTGCCTCAGTTCAGGTGGCTAAGGGGGTGGGGCGTGGAGAGCAATGGCGCAGATGTGCTGGGCACTGAAGAGGGAAGGGAGGCCGGCATCGTTCTGTTTGGTGTTGGTTCTCCAAGAACAACCTTGATTCTTCTGAAACCCTGAGCTCATTCCATAGATGTCTGGTGGCTCTGCCCATCAGCTGCCCTCCCACGTGGGCACTGCAGGGGCCCCGCAGCCTCTCTGCCTGCCTGGCTCTCTGTCCTTCTGTGCCCCTCTGCCCACAACCGCCTCAGCCCCCCCTCCCCCCAACCTGTCCTTCTCTGCTTCTGAGCTTCTGCACACGCGGTCCCCAGCCTGGCGCCGCGCCCTGCTCTGCCTGCCCACACGTCTGGGCACGAGCGCACAGGACCCACAGGGCCAGCGGCGCGAGCTGCAAGGCCCGCCCTGCCCCGCCGCCGTGTGCGGGCTCGGAGCCCCAGGAGCTTGCGCGGGCTTCGGGGCCACGTGCTCACACCCACTCACTCCCTGGTCAGCCCTTCGGGCCTCCGCAAGGCTGAGCCAACCCCGCCCTCACCATTGCCCTGGATCTGCCCCAGGTCTGCACACGTTCAAGCCCGGGTCCTTGACCATGGGATGCGCCGCGCACTTGAGCCAAGATGCAGCACGCAAGGCACTCGCACGCACACCCGGGCAGCGGCACGCACACTCGGCAGCGGCACGCACACCCGGCAGCGGCACGCACACCCGGGCAGGGGCACGCACACCCGGGCAGGGGCACCCACACCCGGCAGCGGCACGCACACCCGGCAGCGGCACGCACACCCGGCAGCGGCACGCACACCCGGGCAGGGGCACGCACACCTGGCAGTGGCCTGGGCCCTGCTCAACCCCGGGGGCTGTGGGCGGCGCCCTCCCGGAACCACAGGGCGGGTGCTGGAGCCAGGAAGTCTCCACCGCGGCAGGGCGCCCACCGTCAGGCTAGACTCGCCCGCCAGCCCCACCGGGCCATCCGAGACCCCACATGCGACCAGGAAGGGTGACAGCACTGCCACAAAGCCCAGCAAAGCTGCCGGAAGCCGCCCTCACGCCGGCCCGACGGCGGTGCGGTACGCCGCGGGTGCTGCCACCTAGCGGACAGACGGGGAGAGTTACCTGCACAGCCGGGGCCTGTGTCTCCAGCGCGACCGCCAGACGCAGTTCCTGCCTCCTGCCCTCCCCGCTCACCCCCCCCCCCCCCCCCCCCCCCCCCCCCCCCCCCCCCCCCCCCCCCCCCCCCCCCCGCCGAGGCCTCCCTGCTCTGCCCATGCCCTGCCTTCTGCTCTCCGGGCAAAACAGGCCCAGCTCAGATGCCACCTCCGCTGTGAAGGCCTCCTGGGGCCCCGGGCCGAGTTGATGGCTCCTCCTTGGCATGCCCCCCACGAACTGCCGACACTCTGCCCCAGCCTGGTGGTGTGTCCCTGCCCCCAGGTGGTCTCACTCCTGCTTCACTCCCCACCCCCTCGGCCTCCGGTGTGCAGGACACGCGTGCGGCATCTCACCCACTCTTCCGTGGGCCCAGAGCACCCCTCACACAGCACCCCTCCTCTGTGCCTGGTGACTCAGGGGAGCTTTGTGGAGGGAGGGAAGGAAGGAAACAGGAAAGGAAGGAAGGAGGGAGGGAAGGGAAGGGAAGGGAAGAAGGAAGGAGAGAAGGAGGAAGGAAGAGGGAGGAGGTGGGGGTGGGAGGAGGAGGGGGAGGGCGGTCAGGTGTGCAGGCTGCAGGCTCTTGTCCTCTCCGGGATCCCTGTGCAGCAGGCAGGACCCCCTCCCCCCTGCACCCCAAGGCCGGCATGTGGATGGGGGAGTGCACTTCCCACGGGTAGCAGGGGAGGACGCCACCAATGTGACCTGTGGGACTCCTGTGAGCCACTGAGCCTGAACTAGGCCAGGGGAGGGAGGAGGAGCCTGTGGTGGCCACTCCCAGACGCCACCCGACCCCTGTGACCTAGCCCAGGCGGTCACAAAGACTTTCCCTGTGTTGAGCCCAGATCCCCAGAACCCTGTGCATCGACACTGATGAGCCAGGAGCAGTTTTGGGGGCCATCGATGAGACCTGGTCCCTGAGCCTCGCATGCCCCCCTCCCCGCACCCCCTCCTCCCAGACAGAGGGCTTGCACAGGGCTCCGCATGGCCAGGAGGGATCCCGCAGGGAGACACTGGCAGACCCCAGAGGGTGCTGGGTGGAGCCCTAAGCCCATGCCAGGGGCTGTCCAGACACTTGCTCTGGACATGAGGACGGTGCCAACCCAGATATAGAAACAGGGTCCTGGCCAGGTAAGGGCTGGGGCACCAGGGCTGCTGGGGGTGGGATCAGGGCCCCAGCTGGGTTTGTTTGGGCATCTGGGTGGGTGAGCAGAGATGCCATCCCACCTCGGGTGGAAGGAAGATGATGAGGCCAGTGCGGGCAGCCCCATTTGAGGGAGCTGGCCCCAAGGAGCCCTCGGGCAGGCATCTGGTCCGAAGGGCCGGGAGCTGGCCAGCCGGGGGCAGCGATAGCGGATGTGGGCACAGCCGAGTGCGAAAATGGCCCAAGCGAGGGGACTGGCTCCAGAAGGAAGCCAGAGGGAGGGAGGAGAGGCTTGGGTCCCAGTGGGAAGAGAGGAGGGGGCTTAGAGAGGGTGGACCAGGAAGCAGTGCCTGACAGCGAGGAGGGCCATCAGACTCAGTGTGAGGGGGTCACTGCTGAGTGGGAGAGGCCCGTGGGAGAGGCCGGGGGAGAGGGGTGTCGAGCTGGGGACAGGGCGCAGAGGGCTGGGCCGTTCTTACAGGGACAAGGACGGCACTGAGGGCTCAGCTGGTGGGCCTGCAGGCCCAGGAAGGAGGTCTGGGGGGACCACCGAGTGCTGTCCATAAGCAGACGGTAGGGGCTGGCAGGAGGGGAGTGGCTAGCACCCCAGCAAAGGGGGCCGAGGGAGCAGGAATTGGGGTCCCCTAAGGTGCAGAGCCACAGCCCAGGGCTTGGTGGTGGCCGAGGCAGGGGCACCGGCCTAGAGCGCCGGGGGAGGGGTGGCCCCTGGACTCACCCAGCTCCAGGCTCAAGGCGGCCGCCAGCACGAGCCCGAGGAGCAGCCGCATGGTCTCCTAGGGAGAGGCTGTGCCCGGAGCCCTGGCTGCCATCTTATACCCGCCGCTCCCACCCTGCGCCAGCAGGACCCCGCCGTCTGACTCACCCAGCAGCTGACTCAGCCGCTGGGCCGGGATGGGGCCCACGCGGCGCTGGGCCACCCTGCCCCCAGGCGGGAGGGCAAGCCCAGGTTATCCCATAAACCTTTCCTTGTCCACCAGGTAGGATAACCCGGGCTGAAGGGCGGGGACCACGTCAGACCGCCTGGCAGGGGTGGGCCCGCGGCCTCTGGTGGGCCGAGGAGAAACACTCAGAGGAGGCCGAGGGTCAGCCCACCCGGAGCCTCACCAGCGCTGCCCCCGGGGTGCTAGGTGACCAGCGTCCCTCCGAGGGGCCGGAGAGCGGACGTCCTCAGCCGGCCCGCCGGCCAACGGGCTTCTGTCCACGAGGGGCAGCTGGGAGCCGCCTGCCTGGCTGGTGCTCGTGGTCACTACCGTGGTTGTGCTGCAGGGCCCAACCTGTGGCTGTTGTCCCCGCGGTGGGGGGAGAACAGAAAGGTATTTGAAAGGGTCCCACAATGGGTGACCCGGCAGCAGAATGCCTGGGTGACCCGGCAGCCACACCAGTCTGCCACGAGCTGGTGGGGCCAGGGCACCAGGGGGGGCAGTGCTGGTGGCCGTCCACGGGACCTGACCCCACCCTCTGGGGATTCCCGTGCATCTGCTTTGGCTGCTGAATGGCTTCTGAACACCCCTCTATCTGGTGGGCTCTTTAGGGCTGGGGGCCAGGAGGATTCAGAGGAGCCAGAAAGCTGGGGGATGGGTGGGTTCCCGGGATCCCGCCTCCCCCCACCAGTGTCCCCTAGGGGCCCCTCTCAAAGGGTGCGGCTGGATGAGCTGGTGGGCCCCCGTCCTTCCCACGGAGCCACAGCCCCTCCCGTCCTGCTCGCTCCCCTCCCACGGGTCATCCCCTTGCCCTGCGCCAGCCCTGGCTCCGACGTGACTGCACAAGCCAGAGTGAGCGGGAGTCCAGGACCACCCGAGCCGGCGTGACCAGCGGCACCAGACCTGCAAGATGGAGCTGAGCTCAGACCAAGGTGGCAGTGAGGCCAGAGAGCAGGGCAGACACATTTATTCACTCATCCCATGAGATACCGAGGGGACCTCTCTGAGGGTTGGGGTGTAAGCGGAAAAGGGAGCTCTGGCCGGAAGGCGGATGCTCATGCCGGTTTGGGTCAGGGTCAGGGTCAGGGTCAGGGTCAGGGCTGGTGGTTAGCATTAACTGCTGGCAGTGACACTGCCCTGGGAAGTGCGATGAAGAGAAGGGGCGCCCCCATCAGTCCATGCATCTGAGGCGTCCTGTGTGCTGGGCACTCACACCCACGGCCTGGTTAATCCTCGCGAGGCCTCCACTTGGTAGGAATGATTGTTCCCATTTTATCGGTGAGACAACTGAGGCTCAGAGATGTGAACGATGAACTCCAGGCAAGTTCAGTGGTAGGAGCTAACGGAACGCACTGAAGAGGGGACACGAGAAAGAGGCCCCCCCTTTCTCTGCAGCCTTTCAGAGGTCTAGAAGCGGGAACAACTACATGTTCATCAAACAAACGAGCCGCTGGAAAGGAGGTGAGAGGGTTGGTGCAGCCCCCCCAGCTCCCCCCCACCCCGCAGCAGGCACTGCAGCCCTGGACACACCTTCCTGACGCCGGCTCTGGGCACCGGGGCCGGACCGCACACGCTGCTCGGCACCCTGTGCCCCCAGGTGAGCGCCCACAGCCCCCGCTTCTGCGCTGTGCCCCACGGACAAGGTTCCAAACAGCACCCACAGGAGGCGGTACAGCACAGCCGGCCCGAGGGACACTCAGGCCGCTTCGAGATGCCACAAAGACCTTGGAGGAGCCCCGGCATCTATTCACATCCAGGGGTGCTCGTTCTGTTGGAAGGATCCCCGTGGGGAGATGCCCCTGCTGTGCTGGCACCCCTGCGCCCTCCTCCCTCGGCGACCCCAGCCCACGGCCTGGGACACTGACATCGGGCCAGACGCCTGCCGCTGGTCCTCACGGCATCTCAGGTCTCTGGTCCCATTTTCCCCTTCGAAGCTTTCCTGCCCTAAGCTCTTGTGATTTCCCCTGGGCTGAGACTGTTTTAAGTTCATGAACCCACCTCCTGGGCTTCACCTTCTCAGGCTCCCGGCTGCCGGGAGAAGACAGCACACGTGGGGCAGGCCTGTGGGGGTGGGGTGAGGTGGCCGGCCAGCCTGCCAGACAGGCAACCACGTCACGGCTCTGTGCCTCAGCTTCCTCCTCTGTAAAGGGGGCGCGATAATGGCTTCCACCTTGCAGGGTGGGCGTGGGGTGCTCAGGGCCATGACCACAGGGGCACCAGACAGATGTGGGTTACCGTCCTCACCAGTGAGGCCTGGCCCAGTATTGGTTGAGGGCCTTTCGGGGGCTTTGTGCTGGGTTTCAAAGACAGCCGGGCCAGGCGGAGCCCTGTCTGTGGGGCTGGGGTGGGGTGTGGCGGTGGCATGGTCCTGGGGGTCCTGGTGCAGTGTTGTGGGTGCTGGGCTTGGACCGGGTCACGGTGGAGGACGGGCAGCTGGGTGCAGAAGGCAGGTACCAGCACCCCGTACGGTGGCAAGCCGGGCTCCCTGGATCACTGCTCTCAACGGCCCCAGAGCTCACAGCGGCCACACTGGGCTCTCACTCCATGCCCACTGTAATGGAGGGGAGGGTGGACCCATCCTGTGCCCCTCCCAGCTCTGGCCTAGATGCCAGCTGACCCAGGACAAAGGTCTTACACAAGCCATCTAACAACAGCTCCTAAGCCTCTCCCACTGAGTCAGGAGGTCAAGGGCGGCTAGTGCTGGAGGCCCACATCCACTCCTTCCACATCCAGAGGCCCGTGCTGGCCCTCCAGCCGGCTCTGTGGGGGGAGTGTGGTTACTCCCCGGAGGCTGACCGCTCCTGGATCTGTGGGGGCTCAGGGCCGGGCTTTGGCTTGCTCCCAGCCTCCCCCAGGGAAGGGCTCACACAGGATTGGTCCTCGGGAGAGGAGACCCCAGGTGTCCTGTGGGGGCTGAGCTCTTGACCTCACACTCCTTGCGGTGCGGCTCTTTCCTGCCTCACGGCCCAGGATGGGGCCCATCTTCCCAGACCTTCTGGGAGGTCCAACCAGATCTGCCCAAGGACCCCTCCCCGGGTGCGCCCAGGCTCTCCTGGGGTATCCTGATCCCTTGAGATCTGGAGTCACAGCGGGAGGCTCTCCAGACCGATCTCTAGCACAGGCTCCCTGACCAGGGCCATGGTTCAGGGCCAAGGGCTTCTAAGCTCCAGGGTCAATCTCACCACATAGGCGTTTGTCACAATCCGGCAGACCTGGGCCCGGCCAGCTTTGAAGGGACTCCTGGGCCCCTCCAGAGACACTGAGCTGGGGACACTGGTCAGGTGAGGACGCCGCAGGCACTGTGTGGCTGGAGGCATGGTGTTGCATGTGCCCAGCCTGGCTCCCTGGAAGGAGGGCCGTGCTTCCTGGGCCACCCTTATCCAGGATGGTCGTTGCTGGGTGACCCTTGTTTCCTGAACCAGGCCAGGGATGGGGTTCACCTAGGCAGGGTGCCCTTTAAATAATGCCAATTCTTGAGCCCCCGAGGGTCCCCAATACCCCACTGGGTTGGGGGCACTTGGAGACCATGCCCTGCAGCCCGGGGTGCACTTCTTTCTCTCCTAGGGCAGAGTCAGAGGGAAGAGGGTCCGGATCATCTGAATCCCGGACTCTGCCTCCCCCAGCCTCCACCCCACACCTCCTCCCTCTCTTCTTCTCAAGACTTCCCCCCAACTCCCCCCTCACCCCAGGCCGACTGGGATGCCCGCTGCAGCTCACCCCCTCAGCTCACCCCCTCTGTTAGGGGGCAGGCCAGGGCTGAAGACCAAGTTGTTTGGCCCCAGCAGCTCCCTGCTAAAAATAGCCCTGGGGTCAGCTCTCAGGCTCCACCAAATATAGCCTCTCGGCCCTGCCCCTCCCCCCTGCAGCCTCAGGCCAGGATGGGGCATGAGGAGAGAGCCTGGCAGAGCAAGAGGGAGGGAAGAACCTCTTACCAGGCTTCTGGGGCTGGGGGCCTGAGGGGTCTCTTCAGGACGAGCCCACCCCCTGCCCCGAGGGCCGCCTGGCTACACGGGGCTTCCTGGCACTGCTACCTGGACAGCTCACGTGCCCAGAGAGACAGCCCTTGGGAGCCTCCAGAGCCCTTCTTCCCGGGTCGCCCCACCCATCCCGGGTCCCCACTGTCCCCTGAGCCTCCACACACTTACTGGGCAGACGGTGGCAGCTTCCAGGAAGGTGGCCAAGTCTCCCCTCAAATCAGTGTCCCTCAGCCAACTGAGGGCCCAGGAGGAGCAGCACACTTTGCCAGACACCCCCTTCCTTGGGCAGAGGAGGGGCGAGCTCCCCCACCAAGGCCTGGTCCCACATCAACCTCGTGAGAATGGAAGTCATGGTCTGGGAGCGAGGGCCCAGGCAGCGGGCACCGAGTCCTCAAGCAGACAGTCCTGGGCGTGGCTGGGGGGGCACACGGTGGGTGGGGGATGCAGGGTGGAAAGGCAGGGCTGGGCCCCTCAGAACTCGGTCCTCGAGCAGGTTTCGGTGGGGGGCAGGGATTCAGAGCAGACCCCAGAGGGTAGCCAGGAGGATGGGGGCCAGGGCCAGGGCCCCGGGGACGGCAAGGCCAGCGCTGTTACAGAGGTCGTACTGGCAGCAGGACGTGGTGGAGGCGTGCTTGGAGTAGCCGTCGTACACGGTCTCGAAGCAGCTGGGCACGCACGACTTGCTCACCTTCATCCTGGTCGGCGTGTAGTCTGCACAGGGGAGTCGGGCTAGGACCCCACGATGGCCCAACTCTGGCATGCAGGGTCTTTAGGGCAGGCTCTCCCTCAGCCGGGAGCTCCCAGAGAGAACCCCGGGCAAGCAGGGCCCCCCTCCTCAGCCTCCCCCACTCCTAGGGGCGGGAACGACGCCCTCTCCTGCTCCCCAGGACACCCTGGTGACTCACAAGTGCGCGTGGTCATGCAGTAGGTGACCATGGCCGGGCAGCGCATGGGTTTGAAGCAGTTCTCTCCGTTGTAGGCGCACACGTGGCAGTCCAGAGCCTGGGCTGGGGGCCGGGGGAGGGGTGGGAGCTGGATGGGGGTCACGCAACGGGGGAGAGCCCTCCTCCAGTCCATCAGGCCCCAGGTCCCATCACCTCCCCCAGAACGGCTGGAGACAGAGGTGGTCTTTAAGAAGTCTGGCCTCCCTCCCCACTCTCAGCCCACGGGCCCCCAGCAGGGGTCTGTCCACCCGTCTTACCCAGAGGAAGGCCCACCAGGGCCACGAGGAGCAGGGTTAGCAGGGGCTCCATGGCTGGAGGAGAGAGGACAGAGTGGCAGAGGGGAGGCGAGCGGCTGCTGGTCCTTGATTTCAACTCAGGCTGGGGCTGGGGCAGGGCCCAGAGAGGGTCAGACAGCCCCCTGCCCTCCCGGGCACCCCTGCACAGCAGAAGACAAAAGACAGGTGGTCACCACTGGGACTGGGGGCCCTGGGCAGGTTTCCTGAAGAAGGGGACACAAAAAGAGATGATAAGGGCGCAGGGGTGGGACATTCCACGTGGAAAGACTGGTGTCCACAAACAGATCTATGGTGCAGATTGAAGGGGCTGTGGGGAGGAGGGTTCATGCTGGGGCCGCACGGGAGCCGGACACACAGACCTTGCTCACCGAGGGCCCTGCGTAGAGGGTGAGCGCCCAGGGCACCACTGGGCCTCGGCGGAGGGTCTCCCCTCACTGCTTCCCTCCCCTCTGCCCCTGGGTTATCCTGGCGTGGGTCCCCCACCTCCGCTACTTTCAGGGCCCGGGTGGGGGCTGCTTTCCCCGGAAGACCTGCAGAGGCCAGCCCTACTTGGGGTCAGGTCTGAGCCCCCGGAGCTCCCGGCAGTGAGGCGCTCCGACCAGCCTGCGGGGAAGTGCGCCTGGAGTGCAATCCCGGGGACACTCGGGCACGAGAGCAGGAGGAACTCCTCGGTCCGATAAGGTGTTGGGAACGCAGACGTCCAATCTCCGGCTGGGGGCTGGGGGGGATCCGGACTACGACTTCTCTCCCCGCTGCGGGGATTTTCGGGGCCCAGCGTTCCCGCCCCAGGGGACCACGACTCCGCGCTACCGGAGAACATCAAGCCAACCCACCTTCCAGTCCCCGTTTCCCAAGAGTCACCCTCGGGACGGAGGCTCCTCCGCTCCCCGCCCCGTCCCCGCGAGCCCCGCCCCGAAGACTGCGGTCCCACGCAGAGCGGGGGAGGGTTCAGGGTAGCCTGAACCGTAACCTTCGGCACGCAGAGCCCCCGCTGCGCCCGGGACTCACCCGCGGCCGCGCCACCTCCTCCCTCGGTCTGGGAGCGCGACGGTGCGGCAGCCCGGCGGTGACCACGCCGCAAGGCCCCTCCGCGGCCTCTGCCCCCTGAGCCGCCAGCCAGGCGTGACGTCACCGCAGGAGGCCCCGCCCCGGCCCGCCCCCGGCCGGCTTGGGACCCGCCCCCCGGCCCCGCCCCGGCCCGCCCCCGGCCGGCTTTGGGCCGGCTTCCCAGCCCCGCCCCGGCCCGGCCCTCCCCCAGCCGGCTTTGGAACACCCCCACCCCCCACCCCGACCGTGAGCCCAGCCTCGGGAGGCGCCCCCACCGGCCGGCTGCAGACCCTCCCCGATTCTGCCCCAACTCTATTTCATCTAGGCCCTGCCTCGGTCCCGCCCCCGCCCCGCCCTGGCTCCATCCACCTCTGCCCCAGGCGCCCTCGGTCTGCCAGGTCCCGCCCATCACAGGTCCAGCCCCGTCCCCGCCCTGGGTCCGCCGCAGCGCGCCCGGCTCCATCCCCGGCCAGCCTAGCCTCGTCCGGCTCTCCGCCTCCGGGCTCCTCTCCCTCCCCCATCCCGGCCCCCTTGGACTCGAACCCCACCCCACCCTGGCCCATGCCCACATGTGTCTGCTGCTCCCCAGTGACGTCCACGCGGTCCTCAGATGCACGCGCACCGCTCAGGGACTATTTCCAGGCTATCTGGCCGCGGTCACCCCCCAATCTTCTGTTTCTCCCTGTTTCTGTCAGCTTCACTCCGCCTGCTCACCTCCCACATCACCGTGACCCTCATTCCTTGAACCCAGTTCAACGGAGGTGCTGCGTGGAGCAGCCCCAGGGGGCAGTCACCCCTGGCCCCGGCTCCCTACTCAGTCTGCCTGGGTCCCACCTGGCCCTGCCTTCCGTGTTGAGTGACTTCTGCGTTTTATCTAGGATTTCTGGGCTTCGGTCCCCACACCTGTCCCACCTAGAAAGGCGAAAAAGCAAACCTGGAAAGGATCCCATTGCTTCATGGACCCCTCCCACCATAACAGCGTCAGTATTAAATAATTGCTTTCTATTTATATAACTTTACTTCAACATTTAGTTTTCTTCTGTTTTGGGCAAAATTTAGGATTTTCATGGGCCCTACAGTTTTCTTTTTTTTCTGTAAATTTTTTTGTTTTGTTTTCATATTTATTTATTTTGAGACAAAGAGAGCACGATCGGGGAGGCGTGGAGAGAGAGAGGGACAGAGAGAATAAGTAGACTCCACGGTGTCAGGGCAGAGCCCACCGCGGGGTTCAGTCTTAGGAACCATGAGATCATGACCTGAGCCGAAATCAAGAGACACAGGTGTAACTGACTGAGCCACCCAAGGTGCCCTTTTCCATGTTTTTCCTACCGTGAAACACTCACACACACACACACACACACACACACACACACTTCTTTGACCATAAGAGACTTTTTTTTCTTTAAAAGACATGAACTAGCTCCAGAGCCGGGTCGGCCATCTCTCCTGGGCACACTGCATGGCTGGTCCCCTATTTGCCAATAGCCACCGAGATGCCCGATGTGCCACAAATATTCTCACCCTCAGGAAGCTCACACTCTAATGGGGCAGAGAATGAACACATGGGTCAAAACCAGAGCGTGCCACGGGCTTCAGCATGAGGCCGCGAGGAAGTGATGAGAACAGGGCTTACCGCCCCGCCTCCAACAACCAAACACAGAGTATGACCGAACCAGTGACTTTGGACGCCGCGGGACAGGCAGGCAGCGGTGGTGATTCTGGACGGAAGGGACTCCGGGGCAGGAAGGGGCCACGGGCCGTGGAGCTGAGGGCCGAGGACAGCCCACGGCGTCCCTGCCTGAGGAGACAAGTGGAGAGTCGGGGAGGCCAGGGCAGCTGGGGTGGAGAGCTGCGCAGGAGGGAGCCGGGGGGCAAGCGGGCGGTTCCTTGCACACGTTTGAGGAACTTACCTGAAGAGGCGGAAGGAGCTGCTGAGAAGGAGCGAGCGAGACAGTCCCCAGAGTCTCACAGGCCTGGGGTGGGGGGAGTCTCCTGTGTCAGCCGGGAGCAGAGTCCTTGAAATTTGGGGCCACCGGACAGAGTGCTCGGAAGGCAACTGTCCTAACCGCGGGGCCTGGATTACACATGGCCCTGAGCTCCACCTGGCACAGCGGAAGAGCAGGTCTTACAAGGGTCCCGCGTCTCCAGTAACGTGGGTGCATCGTGAGACAGGACCCACAATCATTTAAAAGGAAAATTACCCTACAATGTAAATTTCATCTAATTAAATACCTGACACTCAACTGAAACCCCACCCCCGCCCCAGACATGCTAGAAAGCAGGGAAAGGTGACCCGTGGTGAAGACAGTCCTGAGAGCCACACTGGTGTGTCAGTGAGCAAGCACCTTAACACACACACCGCGGGGCCTGTGTTCAAGCAGACAGAGGAGGGCATGACTGTGTCGGGAGCCACGGAAATGAAGAAAACACAAACCGAGCTTCTAAAGATAAAAACACAGCTGGGTGGGCTAACGGCTCACCCGGGGCAAAGGGCCAACACCGGCGCCGCTGGAAGGCCAGGCTCAGGGAGAGGGTCCAGGAAACAAAGAATGAAAAGGGACCCGTGTTCGCTGGAGCCCAGGAGAGGCGAGGAAGAGAAAAAGGGTTTCCAAGAGACAATGGCCAAATTTTTCTGGATTTGTTAAATCTATTCACCACGGAGCCCGGAACGCAAGGAACCCCAAGCACAAGGAACGGGAAGAACACTAGGCCCCCGCGACTCGCAGGCAGGTGCGGCCGCCGCGGGCTGCGACAGAGGCAGGGCATGGCAGCGGCCCGGGGAGCAGGCTGTGATGAACACCAGAAACCCAAAACCCAAAGCAGGCAGGGCAGCAGCGCCCAGCAGTGCCCTCCCGCAGGGCAGCAGGGAGAGGGGGAGGTCCCGCAGGGCAGCAGGGAGAGGGGAATTACGTCCATAGGGAGGAATGGAGAACACCAGAAATGGGAAAGAGGAGTTACTCTTGTCTTATTTTTAAATGACTTTATTATTTTTTTTAATGTTTATTTAATTTTGAGAGAGAGACAGAGTGTGAGTGGGGGAGGGGCAGAGAGAGAGGGAGACACAGAATCTGAAGCAGCTCCAGGCTCCGAGCTGTCAGCACAGAGCCCGACTGGGGCTCAGACCTCCCAGCCACAAGATGACGACCTGAGCGGAAGTCGGACGCTTACCCGACTGAGCCCCCAGGAGCCCCGGTCTTATCTTTAAGTGACTTTAGAAGATAATTGGCTGCTTAGACCAAAAGCAGTAACAATATATGAAGAGCATTTTAGCAAATGTGGAAGTCAAGTGCATGAGGGCGCTGGCACCCCCAGCCCCGGCTGGGAGAGGGGGGTGCACCGCTTTGAGTTTATTTCCTACATGGGAAACGGCACAGTTCTTGAACATAGACTCTAATAAGTTAAAGATGTGCAGTATAAACACTGAAGCAACTGCAGAGAGAGAGAGAGAACAAGGAGATAAAATGGAGTCAGAATAAAGTAATCTATTAGTCAGAGAAGGCAGAGGAAGGGGAGAGGGGAGGAAGCCTGGGGCCTAGGAGACAATGGGAGGAGAGACCCGAAGCCACGAGCAGCCTAACCCCCGCCCTGTGGTCGAAACTGCCAGTGAGGAACTGAGACAGAGCCACCCATTCACTGTCCTCAAGGAGCCCACCACACACGTGCAGACATGAAGAGGCTGAAGTCAAAGAGAAAGAGACACCATGTTAACACTGATTAAAAGAAAGCAAGAGTGACCACATTAATATCAGACAAAGTGGCCTTGGGAGCGGAGAACGTAACCAGGACGGAATGGGGCATCACATAACCGTGACGGGGTCAGTTTAGCAGGGGACTGGGCGACCCTAAGCGTTCATGCACCTGACAGTTGAGCGTCGAAGCACGCGAGGCACAGTTGCCTGCAGAAGCAAAGAGGGAAGAGGAAGACGGGGATTGCAGACTTTCAACACCCCTTTCTCAAGATCCGGGAGCAGTGGACATGCTCAGTAAGGACAGAGGCGGCGTGAGCAGCACAGCTGCCTCGTGTAGCCTAATTGATGTCCTCCTGGGGGAGACACACCCTTTCCGTGTGCGCACAGAACATTTGCCAAGACACCTGTGCTCTGGGCCATGAGGCACAGCTCAATGCACTGACAAGGGCCGAAACTGTGTGAACAGTTTCTTTAGATAACAGTGGAATTCAATTAGATACCAAGAACAGAAAAATGTCTGTAAGCTACTCAAAGATTTAGGAACTGAGCAACACATTTCTAAATAACAGACCGATCAAAGGAGACATTTGAAAAGAAATTAGAAAAATTTCCAGTTCAACGAAAGTGAGAACACAATACAGCAAAGTCGGATTCAGCTAGAGGACACTTGGAAGGGAAGCATCAGCACCAGCACTCACGTTAGAAAACCAGAAAGGATGGGGCGCCTGGGTAGCTCAGTCGGTTAAGCAGTAAGTTGGTAAGTCGACTTCGGCTCAGGTCATGATCTCACAGTTCGTGGGTTCGAGCCCCATGTCGGGCTCTGTGCTGACAGCTAGATTAGAACCTGGCTGCTTCAGATTCTGTGTCTCCCTCTCTCCCTGACCCTCCCCTGCTCACGCTGTGTCTTTCTCTCTCTCTCAGAAATAAATAAAACATTAAAAAAAAAAAGGAGAAGAAAATCAGAAAGGTCCATGGGGCGCCTGGGTGGCTCGGTTGGTTACACGTCTGACTTCAGCTCAGGTCATGATCTCGCAGTTCACAAGTTCAAGCCCTTGTCGGGCTCTGTGCTGACAGCTCAGAGCCTGGAGCTGCTTCTGATTCTGTGTCTCCCTCTCTCTCTGCCCCTCCCCCACGCGCACTCTGTTTCTCTTTCACAAATATAAACAAACATAAAAAAGAAAAAAAAAGAAAACCTGAGAGATCCCAACAGGACAACATCCCCTCCACCTACAGGAACCAGAGCAAAGTCCAAGGACACAGAATAAAGGAAATAGTAACAAAAAGAGCGCGCACATTGATGACATAGAAAAAGAAAAACAATAGGGAAGATCACTGAAACCCAAAGCTGCTGCTTTGAGAACATCCATATGAGTTTTAAACTTCTGTCCAGGCTGATCAAAAAGAAAGAGATGAGGCCACAGAGAAGGAATGAGAAACG